CATATTCCACAACTTATTCAAAAACCACATTCTCAGTTTGCTCTTAAATCAACTTAGAAAACTGGAGCATTTTTTGGGTATTAAAGTGACTCATCACAAAGGTGGCTCTCTATTTCTATCTCAATTTAAGTACATCAAATATTTTCCCTCAAAGGCTATCATGTCAAAATCTAATGGGTTGCCTACACATATGATTACAAGCTTAAAACTATCCAAACACGGGACTGATTTTTTGGGTGAGCCCACCTTTTATAGGTCTATTGTTTGGGATCTTAAATATGCTACTCTTACAAGACCTGAGATAAGCTTTGATGTGAACAAAGTCTGCCAGTTGTAAAAGAGAATTTTAAGGTACTTAAAAGGTACCCTTCATAATGGCCCTACTACTCCATCCTACTTCTACTCAATCTCTTATCTCCTTAAAGGGGTTTTCTGATGCAGACTTGGGATCTAATCCATATGACAGGAGATCCATCTCAAGTTCCTGTGTTTTCCTTGGCTCTAATCTTGTATCCTGGTGGTCAAAGAAGAAGACTCTAGTGGCAAGATCCAGCACTGAAGCTGAGTACAGATGCCTTGCCAACTCATCCTCAAAAATATCGTGGACCCAATCTCTATTGATTGATCTCGGAATTCCCTTCACGCCTATGTTATTTTATGATAATTTGAGCACAGTTGCATTATCACACAACCCTATCTAGCATGCTAAGACCAAACACATGGAGTTGGATATCTTTTTCTTAAGGGAAAAGGTTCTAAGCAAAACCCTGTTGGTTCATCATGTTCTAGCTATTGATCAGTATGCAAATCTACTTACTAAATCACTCTCTTCTTAAAGTTTTTTTTTTGCAACTTAGATCCAAGTTACAAGTTCATGACAAAGACTTTCTTCTACAAGGAGGAATTTGGTCTTGACAGGAAGATATTAGATTAATAGATATAAGCATTAGAATTATAGATATAGAGTGCAGTAAAATAGTTAAGTTTAGAAGGCATAATGTAACTATAAATACTTTATAGTAACAGAGTCGTAACTAACATTCCATCAATAAAAATTCATTTGTAACAAACTTTCTCTCTCTCTCTCTCTCTCTCTCTCATCTCTCTCTCTCTCTCTCTCCCTCTCTCTCTCTCTCTCTCTCTCTCTCTCTCTCTCTCTCTCTCTCTCTCTCTCTCTCTCTCTCTCTCTCTCTCTCTCTCTCTCTCTCTCTCTCTCTCTCTCTCTCATCTCTCTCTCTCTCTCTCTCTCTCTCTCTCTCTCTCTCTCTCTCTCTCTCTTTCTCTTCTTTAAAACTTTCCAATATTTCTACATTCTTATCATACCGAGGTTCATTTTGATCTCTTAACTTTAACAAAAACCATTTGAACCTTTAACTTTCAAAATGTATCAAGTTAGTCATTTTCATCCAAAGACCAATAACAAGTCAATTTTTGCCTATGTGGCAAATGATGTGTAACACTAAGCTTTTGTGACTGATTCAACTATAGAAAATCGGTTGTTAAAATATGATTTCTTATTTTTTAAAATATTGTTCATCTTTTTGGTTAAAATAGTTTCTTTTCAAGTAATTAGTGTTACTGATACTAGAAAAAGAAATAAAGTTATTTACATACTCAAATGTTTGTGCAAGACTATGAAAATTGGCCCCAAAATACTTTAAAGGTTGAAATAAGACCCTAAGACCCACTTAAATATGTGAATGCTCTTTCCATATTTAGGGGTTCTCTTACACCATCGCAAAAATACTAAAATATTCTCAGTATTCAGAGATGCATCTCCGAACACACCTTTTTCACACACAACTAAGGCAAAAATGATGAGAAACTCTTATTTTATTAAATTTTATCCAAATATGGATCTCCGTATGCATGAAAGGTTGATTTAGAGATGCATATCCATATCCCACTTTGGCTAATTTGTTTATGAGCTTTCTAGAGATGCTTCTCTAGAATATGCTCTTTTAGTTTAAAACAGAAATAGGAAAAAACAATGGCAGATGGAAAACCAAAATAAAGTAACTCCAAAATAAACATTACATTGATAAACATATTACACAAATTTAACATTCCATATTTTTAAAAACATATGGATCAGGATGTTGCAACATTCTTAAAATATCTTAGGATGATCTTTGAATCGTCGCATCCACTTCAATCACACCCTTTGTTGAGTAATGGTAAAAGGTATTCCACATCACCTTCAAATCATCACCTGCCTCTAGTTCAAGCATGATGAACCATATATTATCTTTGTTGTCTATCGAGGGTGAACGGTACTCGAGCTTTATAACTCTCCAATTTTCTAGATATCGCAGGAGAGTATTCAGTTTGGTTTTCAGATTGATGAGAAGTATGTCCTCGCAGATTCGAAATTGAAGTGTGGGTTTTGCGCCATTGAAATACACACATGCAAGAATGGGATATGTAGTAATTCTAGTTTGTGTTAAGAAAGTAGAATGAGAGACCATATTTATAGAAGTTGTAGAGCAATAAGGACCTTACAAACGTGATCATATATGTATGAAATACTTCGGAGTTACATCTCCCGATCTGCCTTTTTTCAAAAAATAAGGGTCTCTCCCAAGATGCATCTCTGAATTATCCCCTGTTTTGCATTTTTAATGAATAAAAAGGTGTGTCTGGAGATGAATCTCTGGATCCATCCAAAAACTATGCAGAACAGAACCATGCTAATTATGCCAAGCTAAATTTGACAAACAAAAAATGTCCAAAAAATACCACCCAATTTTATAATATTATACATTGCGCTACTTATAAAAAATGTGTTACATTGTTAGATTACAGCTAAAAAACATAAAAACATCACCAATACCTTTAGCATCTAGGGTATTATCATTTGCAAATTTCACCCTGTTCTTCATCGAGAGACTTATGTTAACAAACCAATCTTTCCTTCCAGACATGTGTGATGAGAAACCTAAGTCTAGGTATCATTGGTCCTTGAATCTCTCTTTATCTTTCATTGTGACCATCAATAACATCTCTTCTTCTTCTTCTTCTTCTTCTTCTTCTTCTTCTTCCTCTTCTTCTTCTTTGTGTTTTGCGAGTCTTGCATCAATTTATTGATTATTTCTTTTTTTATACACAATCGCTAGTATAATGACCATGCTTCTGACAATTGTAACCCTTAATGTGACTTTTATCAAGTTTTCTTCCATCACCTCTTCCAATACCTACAACACCACCTCTGTGATTGCTCTAGTTTGAGGGTCTTCTCTGGTTTGAAAAATTTCCTCCTTGTTGGTTAGTTTTACCATTCAGATTGTTGTAACCTCCTCTGCCTTTGTTACAATTCCATCTTCCTTTGTCTTTCTTTTCTTTTGCTGATTTCGTCTGTAGAGCTACATCATCTTTCGTCTTGCTTGTAGATCTTTCAAACAATCTTTGTTCATGAGATCCAAGTGTCCCTTGAAGCTCTTGTTTTGTCATGCTTGACAAATCTTTCGATTCTTCTATGGCTACTACCGCATGATTGAATTTTCGAGTTAATGACCTCAAGATCTTTGCAACTATCGATCTTGATGTCAACACTTCTCCATATATCTTGATTTGATTCACCAGTCTTGTTATCCTAGTGAAAAAATCGACCACACTTTCACTTTCTTTCATTTGAAGCAACTTATACATTCTTTTGTGATTTTGTAACCTCACCTCTTTCACCTTCTCAGCTCCTCCAAAGGATTTCTCCAGGGTGTCCCATGCTTCCTTCGATGAGTCTACATCATCAACTTTCTCAAAGTTGTCTTGATCAACGCATTGATGGATTATAAAGAGAGCTTTATAATCTTTCTTCTTCAAATCTTTATGTGCAACCCTTTGTTCATTCATGGCATTCTTGCCAATTGGTGTTACTTCATTCTTCATAAGATCACAAACATATTGTAGTAGAAGACAACCTTGATATGCTTACACCAATTATCATAATTCTTACAATTCAAGATGAGAAGATCCGCTGGAAAATGCCCGTTCAGATGAGAAGCCATTGCGTTATGCTTTCCAAGAATCACAACAATGCTCTAGACAACATATGTTGTAATCGATCTTGATAGAACAAGATTTAATCGCTTTCTTGATTGATTCAAGATTCTCGTTCTTCATTCTTCACTCAAGTGATTCAATCACTCCTTAATTGCAAGATGATTCCAAGTCATTCTCGTACAAAAATTTGATGAGAGGAGATCATTTAAGAGAGAAAAGAGAAAATTAGAATTTTGAGCGAAAAAGTAGACGGTGAAAAGTTCTATATTATTTTTCTCATTAAATGAAATATTTCTCTATATTTTTTTTTTTACAAATGATAGGTGCCCTTATAATGAGACTGTTTGCACAAGACGCAATCTCTAACTAACTAGGATTATTTTTCTATGGTCACAAGACTAAATAAGAAATTCTTAGCCCCAGTCACAAATGTCAATTATACCTTTTATTTTCTTAAATTATTTAAAAAACAACCAATATGTTAATATTACATTTTAGTTTTTTTTTTGTGTGTGTGTTTTGAGCCCATACTCATGTGTTCATGTAAGACTTGCTCAAGTAACTAACTCACTAATTTCTACAGACTGAATTCGACTCTCTATCAAATACACATATCTTCTACTTGCTGTGTTTCGAGCTTCTTTCGAGTATATACAGGTCCGACTGCTATGAACTAAATCCGACTTTGTCAACTACATATTACTTTGGCTCTGTCAAGTTTACAAGCATGCTTAACACAAAAAATATTAAATTGGAGAACCTAAAGCCAACAAAAATAAATTATAAGCTTTGAATTTTCCATTACATAAAAAAGATCAACAAAGTGGTCGACTGATAAATTACATTAGAGTGAGAAGATTGAACATGCAGTCTGGATACGAGTAAGCAAAAGCAGCAATACAGCAGCTAGAGTAGATGCTATTTTCCAAGGAGTATTGAAGGACTCATGTATAAATATAGCTTTATACTTATTTCTAGGGTTTTTATAGAAACCATTTAACCTATGACATAAAGACATATATTACTGAAACATTTTTGGAAAGATTGTTAACCATTGTAGCCACTTCATTAGCATCACACATCAAATTCACAATAATTTTCTTATCAACCAAGATACTCACATCTTTTTCTGTGTTAGTAAGAAAATCTAAGATACTCAAGTACTGAGAAATGTGACATGAATCGTCGTCATCTGTAATGTGACATTCTTCAAATGCTAATATATTCCTCATGTATCGACATGAAAACATGGCATTTTCAACACACCGTTATCATCAAAATTCAAGGCAACTAAGCATTTACTTTCACTTACTTCAAATACTAATCCTGCTTCTGATAGTTTACTTTCATCCACACAACCATTTGGTTTTGCCTCCATTTTCCTATAATTAACCTATAAGTTGTTTATATCAACTATATTGAAGAGTTAATGAAAATAAATTAAAAACAGCTAATGAATTCTTTCAAATAAATTCTGTCAATACAAATTAATAACATGTGTAAACATATCAATACCAAAAAAAATTCACATATTATTGTTGAATTTCATTACATTTCATTCATTAAAACTAACCCAAAAAAAATAGTAATTTAAATAAATTGAGTAATTTACAATATCCAATTAAAATAATATTTAAACAATATTTATTCATATTAAAACCAAAATTAAAAAAAAAAACTTATGAATCTATGAGAAGTATGTCTACCTTATTTAAACCAATGTTTGATTTTTAAATTAATTTAATAGTTAATTAAACAAATAATTTTTCGTATATTATCTCTTGTTAGCTATATGATAGGTAGGAAAGGAAACCATATAGTAGAATTGTGTACCTTACAGCTTGACACACTGAAATGAAAATCTGCTTATCTTTATATCTCTCCACAAGTCTTCAGCATTTGGTTCACAACCTTCAACAAGGATATACTGCACCATGTACCACCAAAATCTCAATTAGATAATTTAAACTAATTATCAATGCAATATAAATACTACAACAGGAAACCAAAAGACATGAACAAATTGATACTTTGGTCTCAAACATTTCATAGGTATATCTTCCTCTACAAGCTTGTTTAGTGGATATAACTATTCCTGAAAGCAATAAATGTAAAGTAAAAGTGAAGATTAATAAGTAAACTTCAAACTTGTTTATCAACTGTAGTTGACCTGACCTGAGATGCAAGTAAGAATTTGGATAACCATCACTGAAAAAGTCCCTCAACATAATCAGAGTCTACATTTTTAACTTTTGAAGTTGCAATTGGAAACATTATTCAAGAGTTATCATGGTTATTTATGTCGTACAAATAACAACTGCTGTTCATGGAATCATTGTACATTACATGCATATGTTAAATTGAGTTTTGTTCACACTACATTAAACAACATTTACTATAAAAGCAAAAGATTAATCCTAGTAATAATCATGTATTCTCAAAACCATTATAGTCTATTTTTAGGTGCTAAGGCTATGAGTAGACTTGATAGATTTGTGATTTTTAGGAAGTTGATTGAAGAGTGGGGTGTGGTTGATCAAAGAGTAGGGCGTAGAGATATCTCGGATCAGTCTCTTATTTGGCTCAATTTCGGGAAAATAGATTGGGGTCCTGTTTACTGTGGAAAATGATAAACAACCACTGGTCCTCCCAAAATCCTAAAACTAAGGGTAACTCGCAAAATCGACCAGTTGATCTTAAGACATGTGCTAAGAGTTTTATTATTATACTTATTCTGTCGAAATCCTTATCAAGAGAAATGATTTTATGTGATTAAAGGAACAAGTATAACGACTTTCCACATTATGAATCGATCGACTGACTGATGACTCATGACTGATAGAAGGTGTTCATATGAAAATAAGATTCAATAAACTAACTGACTGGTGACTCGTGACCGACAGAGAGCATTGAATTGTTTATGCGAAGTAGAAAATAACGTAAAGACTTTGTTCGACAGTACATAGAAAGAAAATAAAGTATTCAAAAGAGATAATTGAAAAATAAAGGATTTGCATTGAAATAAAAGTGGTGATTCACGTACGTCAAGCACTTCTTCACTCTTTGTTTCCTAACGTTCGGAATAACAGAGTTTTGACAAGTGATTTGAGCATACAAGTGAACACACCAAAAAACTACACTAAATCTGCTTATTTATAATATTTACAATGTAACTGCCTAGATGAAATCTACGGACAATATTAAAATCTTGAGACAACTGCTTCACTGGATATCGCCACCTATTTGGCGCTTAAACAAATTGCAAACCGCTGACAACTGCTGATGAATTTGAAATTTAAATCTTCCCGCTCCTAACTTCTGAAAGTAAACCGCTTCTGACTCGCTTCGACACTTTTCCTTTGGCAAGATTTAAAAATCAACAACAATTCCTCTAAGTCCAGAAATCCTTTTGGTTGACAAAAACCAATTTCGACTATTTTCCTTGTCTTTCACCCTTTGGTCGACTAAACCAATTTCAACCATTTCTTAACATATATTCTTTTATTTCCTTTTGGTCGACCTGACTCAGTTTCGATAGTTTGGCGTGACATTTCCTTTAAACGTTAAATCTAGTTTAATAAAACCAAATTTTCAAACACTTTGGCTCCAATTTCCCATAAACCCCTGCTTTAGAGGATGACCCTTAGCTTATGAGAATATCTTCATTTAATACACGTGCTTGAATACCTTAAAATTTTTCAAGGCAACAAAATATCCCCCAAAGATGCCATTTTTGAATTTCGACTCATGAGATAATAGCAACTTTGAAGTGTCGGTTTTACCATTTGACCAACAGGCCGCAAACCTCCATGGTGAACTGCGGTCATTCTAAAACAGATTTAAACATTTTTAATCATTGTATCAACGATCTTGTGATTTCATTATGACTTTAAGCTAAATTTTAATGGCACCTTTCTTTATATGTCTTATATATATATATATATATATATATATATATATATATATATATATATATATATATATATATATATATATATATATATATATATATATATATATCTTCCTCTATTGTACACATTTTATTCATGTTTTGAATTTGCTGGTTTTAAACACAATTTTACCAACTTATTGATTCGATGAATATTCATTCTGTCGAAATTCTGACTTCTTGAAGAATAGGCTTATACTTTTTTAAGTACTTACCATTTACCCTTAAGATCCGTCGATCTGGGGCTAACTCCTCAAGTTCATAGACATTATTTAAAAAAACTTGCATCACCTTAAAAGGCCCTTCCCAATTTGGGGACCATTTCCCTAAGACTCTATCATTTTTGTCCATAGGTAATATTACTTTCCATACTAAATCGTCGACAACAAATAATTTATCTTTTACTTTTTTATTATAAGCTCTGGCAACTCTTTCTTTTTGTCTTATTAACGAATCAAGGGCCAACATCCTTTCTTCATCTAAGTCGACAAGCTCGTCCGCCATCATATATTCCAGTAATCCTCAGATGGTATTTCATGCTGTCTTTGAATTCTTGTTGATTGAACATGTATCTCCACTGGTAACATTGCATCATGCCCTTATGCAAGTCGAAATGGAGTAGTTCCTGTTGCTTCCTTAGGGTAAGTTCTACATGCCCATAAGGCTTGATCTAGTGTTTTATGCCAATTCCTTGGTGTGATACGGTGGTAGAACCGACTGTTAATACTGATTTGCATTTTGTATTTGCAAATGTTGCGGTAAGCAAGAGTCGTCACTGACTTTTATTTCATCCAATAAAAGGAAAAGGAAAAAGAACAGAAAAAACCTTTTTTTGAGATGTTTCTGAGTACGGGGGTAGATTATAGAAAGGGAAGGTGTTAGCACCCTTTCTATCCGTGATTTTCCACGGGCTCTTAGATACTTGCTCTTTTTTTTTAAATTGCTTGTGTGTGCTTGTTTTGAAAAGTTTTGTTTACTTCGTGATAACCCTTGTATCTGTCTTCAAGAGTGTGACGAAGTTGTTTTGAAAACTATTTTTGAAAAGTGTTTGTGTGAAAAGTTTTTGTTTTGAGCAAGTACTTAAGAGTTTTCTACCTACTCGAAAAAAGTCTGTTCATTTTCGTTTCCTTTAGACAATGCTATCCTACTATTAAGGAGTAGGTAGCTCCGCCGTTGGAATTTTAAGGGACGTTCGAAGGGACGAAATGGTCTCTGAAGGCAACAAGTAAGGATACCTTAGCAATTTCGAAGGGACTATCGCCATAAGATCAATTCGTAGGCAACTCGAGGGACAAGTAGGGACTATGATCTTTATGACGACTTTGAATCGCGGGTCATTGCTAAGGTATCCCTACGTTCGAGGGACACAACCATTATTTCCGAGGCAACCAAGTGGGGCAAACCCTAGGAGTGAGCATGTGCAAGTATGTTTTTTCAGTTAATTATCTTTGCACAATTAGGGTTATCTACCTTTTTAATTGTGGATTTATCTTTCACATACAATCGTAATGTCCATACATCTAGCAGTTTAATGGTTGCGGAAATTAAAAAAATGCGAGAAATTAAAGTCCTAGCTATTACAAGGCTTTTGGGCAGATACACCAATATTAGACTGAAAATAAAGATACGGAAATTCAAAATCCTAATTAATCTATTACAAACCCAAAGAAGATACAATAATTCGAAATAAATAAATAAAACGCGCACGAAGAATTAAAACGGGAATGAGGAAAAGACATTTTTGGATTTTCTTGAGAAAAGTGATTAATCTCGTAAATTAACCTAATTTCTATTTGTTTTTAATTATATAAAAGAAAAGAGTTTTTAAATTAACCTAATTTTCTATTGAATTTTAATTACAAAAAAGGAATTTAAATTAATCTAATTAATTAATTGTAATTAAATATTTTATAAAAAAACTCGATCTAATTTTTTTAGTGATTTTCTGATTTAATAATAAAAAAAAGATTTTTTTTATGAAAATAATTAAAACAAGAAATTAAGAAAAAATAAATAAAGAAATTAGAAAAAAAGAATTAAAGGAATTGGTCCTGATGTCATGAGCAGACTGAGGGGGGGTGCTGCCAAATTTGTGTTAGGCCCAAAGTTGGTGACCTAGAGTCTAGCGCTTGATCCAGTGCACCCTGCTTCTGATGGTCTATCATGAACCTGCGTATGCTGGGCATTAGATCTGGCTGGAGATGGATCTGATGATTGTGCATCTGAGTCGTATGATGGACTATGGATGGTGAGGCACGCTGGATCTGGAATTGGAAATTCAGAAAATATAAAAGGTCTGGACCTGGGATCGAACCCAGGCCCTCCCTTTTACACGTCCATTTCCCTTGCCAACTGCGCTGGATGTTAACTCATACATATAATCAAATGAAAATAATATATATCAAACAAGCCATTAGATCCCAGTCAGCAAAACATAAACGCGTCAGCATTTCCAGAACCAATCATGTTATAAGGAAATGCCACGCTAGTAGTCAAACTGCCTTCGCCTGAGGAAGACAAGTCAACAACGCCGGAGCTGCGCTCCGGTCGTCTTCTCTGGCACAGTCAATGGCCAACCTGCAAATTTTGTGAGATTTAAAGCTCACAAAGAGACTTATCCTATGCAAAATCGCCTCCTGAGTTCAAATCTGAGCTTGGTTTTGAGGGATCATGGCTATATCCAGAGTTTCGAACATATTTTCAGTGCGTTCCCTAAACATGGCAGATGGCTATTTCTGCGTGCATGCTTGCCACTAACGATTCAAAACACTTCAGAACAACATTATGAACACGTAGTAATGCAAGAGATCAATGTATATTGCATGAATCAAAAGTTTGAAACTTAAAAATTTACCAACTCGTGGGGGTATTGGAAAGAGTGGTCCTGGGTGTCTTGGCCTTCAAGAGTG